AAACATAGAAATTATCTACGCCATATAAGCATTGCACACTACAAAAAGCTCCGAAAAGGAATCTCGCAGTGTTGAAGCGATCGACGGAGATAGACCCAAATACTGTCTCGACTTGTGACGAAGTCAATGTATGACTCCGTCGTCAATTATAATGCTGGGAGAGTGGAAAGATGTGTTGGTGATGGTGTTATTGATGATAGTGGATGAGCAGGCTTAGAGGTATTGATGATAATGAGGAAGAAGGAGGGAAGGAGGTGGTGATGATGGTGGTGAAGTAGTAGGAAAGGGTGTGGTGTTGGTGATGGCTAAAGTGAAGGAAGCAAATGCTGGAGATGGTGGGATGGAAGTGTTGATGTGGGTAGCAAAGAAAGAGGCGTGGGAAGGTTTTGAAGGTGGTAGTGAAGAGGCCGGAAAGGGGGATGGAAGGGATGTTGGTGGAGGAGGAGAGGAGGAAAGGTGTTCGTGATAGTGGTGAAAAGGGAGGGAAGGAAGAGGTAGTGGGGATGTTGTTGGTGGAGGTGAGGTTATGTTATCACAATCAACGTAATTGCACATTTGGCATCCATTTCCGTGCGTGCTTAGTTCTCTGATGCAACAACCACTCCAAAGTACCTCTATTGATTATTCCCATGAGAAGTTGGTTGTAGTGTCTTCTACCTTGATTTCGAAGACGGCATATACATGCTTCACCAAGTTTTACTCACAGGTAAAGCAATTGTGTTAGCGTCAGAGATTCATCAACATCAGCATCTAGTCAGATCATATCAGCTCTGCCCTAGCACCTTCTCGTATGCATTGTTAACTTGCTAGTGAGGGTTAAGGTGTTAAATGTAGTCGTAAAGTTGTTGAGTGAAGGTGGAGAATAGAAGAAGGGATGGAGAAGAACAAGTGATGAGGAAATGGTGATGAAAATGGCAAGAAACGGAAATCAATAACACTTTTATTTCTGGTGGCGACTGTTGGCTTTGGCGCCTCTATCAACTGCCATATGCATTTAATGTGTGCCGGGAAAATTGTTTGTTCACCAGTTTTTTTTTCACATGCGACATTAAGGAACATTTCATTTGATTTTCACTGGCACAGGAACGGAGCAAGAATGGGGAAACCCGATTGCAGTGAAATTAAAACATCGACTAAGACTACAACTAAGGACAAGGAGGTACTGGTGCTGTCGCTAATAAAATACAGTATTCTGTAACCACATAATCTCAGACAAAATTACACAGGTAGAACCGCCATCGACGATCCTCCTTTTCGTTGTCATGGACGCTGTAAGCTCCTTTAATAGCCTGCCCAACGGGAACATGGAAGTCCATTTCTCCGTCCCAGTCATTGACGAACGAGGTTTTATAGCAGTCCCTTGTGGGCGATCCGGACACTCTACAGCACCGAACCATGAATCGACGGTCCTCGAAACTGTTGTCATGGTAGCTCATCATCCCAGTCAAACCCCATTCCCTGAACAGTTGTAGTCTAACGGTTGGTCAAACAGGTTGAGGTAGTCTGAAACAGGAAAAGTAGAGAACAAAATTAAAGCATATAGTAACAGTGCAAGGCACCTAGCGACACCAGAAGAGCAGTATTTAATACAGTATTTTTTAACCATTATTGTGTTATCGGTGCCAAACATGGACATTGCCAACAAAAGAAGGGGGGGGGGGGGGGACAGAAATCAAATGTCCATGAAGAATCCTAAATGGAACTAGAAGAAACAGGGCTAGATATAACGATAGCAGGAACAACGTTTTGACGGAATCAGTATTAAACTAGATCAAAAGACAAAAGATTATATAGTTCGGACATGTGTCAAGACTATCACCAGACAGTGCACCACAGAGAGCCTGTCACTTGGACACAATAGAAACAGAGCCAGAGGTCTACCACGCGAGCCATGGATAGATGGAATAGCCAGGTGGTAAATACTAGCATCTACGTAGTACATACAAAGGCTCTGACCGATGCCTCTTTGAAACCTGATTCTGAAAGACAGAACGGTACTAAAGAAGAACAAAACAAGAAGTGCAAGACTATTGCAACCAGTAGCAGTAATTGTAGCAGGTAGCAACTGTAGTCATAATAGTAGCCCAAGAGTAGTATTAGTGTTAGGAGCTTCAGCATTGGTAGTAGAAGTAGCAGCAGCAACAGTAATAGTAGCATTAGTAGCCGCATCAGAAGTAATAGAGGTGGTAACCGTAGTAGCAGCAGCAACAGTAGCAATGTTAATAGTAGCAGCAGCAGCAGTAGCAGTATTAGTGGCGGCGGGGTGGTGGTGGTGGTAGTAGTAGCAGCAGCAGCTTTAGTAGCAGTGTTTGTTGTAGTAGTAGTAGCAGCAGGATCAGCAGCGATAATAAAAGCAGTATTGGGAGAAGTAGCAACAACAATAAAAGCAGTGTCAGTAGTAGTAGTAATACTAGTAGTAGTAGTTGTAGTAGTAGTAGTAGTAGTAGCAGCAGCAGCAGCAGCAGCAGCAGTAGTAGTAGTAGTAGTAGTAGTAGTAGTA